TTAGTAGGAATGCTGTTTGCACAGCGTGATTTGGAAACATGTCCCACTGGAACCCTGCTGCTGAGACCCTCTTAAGGGAATGGCTTTGCCAGCACTTTGATTCGCACCCAGTCCCACAAACAATTCAAAAGCAGTGGGTGGGTATTGGTTCTGGCCCGGCTTCTCTCTTAAAAATTCCTGGACGGTTCAATGGATGGCCCCAAAACATTCAAGGGACCATTTCTTAGTGTTGTTCAACCCAGTGGCTAGATTGGCTCTCTAACTGATGCAGCTAATAACCGGATTTGCCATTCGCTTATTCCATTAGTTAGTCGTGCATTCACATAATTCCAAAATTACGTTTTTTTAAAACGTTCTTAGCCAATATAATGAGGAGGAGTGAGAAGTATAAATCAGCCTTCCTGATTCATGTTGATCTAATGATAAGTGAAAATGTTTTACATCCAGCTCTCTAAATGGAGCATCAAAAGAGCATTTAATAATTTGGTTTAAGATATCTTCAATAGAAGTGGTGCTTCCATTGTAAGTATACTTCTCCCCCCCCCCCTCAAACATCCTCGTAGTTCAATCACTATTTTTTAACTCCTCTCAAAAAAAATGATCCTCCTACAAGCGAATGGGCTCAGATGATTCAATCCCAGTTGAGATCATATTTCTTACTTGTCCACCTTGAAGCCAAAGGTTATAGGACTGTTTTAATTCTGGGAGCTTGTCAATGTGATGACAAATTAAAAAATATTTTTTCATCTGGGATTCAGAAGGACATAAAATAGTTTGTTGATTTAACAAAATAAGAAAATAACAAATAGTTATAGAGATCACAAATAAGAACCCAGACTAACAAAATAACTCACCACAAGATGATTGTTAGACTTCATTTCCCTCAGGAGACAGATGATTCACACAGCAACAACTAATAAACAGTTACAGAACTCATGTGTTCACTTTGCTAATTCACCTTAGAGACCTCTTGTTTCCACACAGTAATTTTACATTCTTCTGAGCATCATTTGTATGCCATCATGTTAAAAAAAACTCTACACATATGTAGAAATGAGTAATCTCACCACACAACTGAATTCTTTCAGCTATTATTATCTTGTGCAACACTTTACAATAGAAAACGCTCTCTATTTCTTGCCTACTTAAAATAATTTCTACTTAAAATCTAATTCTCCTCTCTCTGCATACAGTAGCATGATTTAGTCTATGAATGCCCGTCTTATTTCTGCTTCACGGTGTCCCCTGCAGTTTGATTTAAAATAGACTTTTTCCTGAGCTGGACTTGCTAGTCGTGCATCTTGAAAACAAGAATCTGTAGAACTTTAGTAGGAATTTGGGGGTTTGGAGCATCGAATGTATATGCCCTGGGAATGTTTGATGCTGACAATAGGTAGGGAAAAGATCCCATTTCCTCAAATCCCTCAGTTTCATGAGTATAAAATCACCAAAACAAACAGGAATTCACTGCATATTTAAAATGTTTGTGCTGCAGTCAGCAGACTCATAGAATGTCATAAAATGTCAGATCTCACAGTAATTGAGGTAGATTTCCACCTGCAGTTACTCACAGAATAAATCCTCAATCTAAATTGTCCACGAGGGATACTGATTAGACAGTGTGTAAGGAAGATCAAATCAACCAGTCAATTATCCTATAGCTTTGAATCATTATAATCCTTACATTTGATGTAGCTCCCTATCACTTCGAAATGTCTCAAAATGCTTCATATTAATTACTGATAAGTTCAGTGACTATGTATTTGTAGGCAACTAATTTATGCACAGCAATGTCCCACAAACAGCCATGACATGAAAGACTGTTTTTATTTAGCGTAATGAGTTCTTTGACATCCATTTGAATACTTGAAACATCTAAACATATGCAGTGATGACTACAGTTTTATTAATGAGAAGTACGATTTTTTGTTTCTGAGCAGCTTCTGAGGTGGGTGAAATAATAAAGATATTGATGTGTTTTCTCCTTTGTGTTCTGCCTGTAAACACTGATCTAAATTGGATTAGGGCTAAGATGTAAATTTGCTTTGTTTGCTTGAAGTTGAGTTTGAAGTACAGAAAGCAAAGATGTCTATAAACCTGACAATGTGAAAGCAGCTACAGTGTAGAGTCTGTTGAAGACTCTGCAGAATGAAGCTTCATTATAAAATAGTAATAATCCTTGCATTTGATATAGCAAATGCCAGGAGGATGTCTCAAAGTGCTTCACAGGATATACTGTGAAATGTAGTGACTATTTGTTTTGTGGACAAATGTGGTTACCAAATTGCACACAGCTGTACAGTGAGTAACCAGTTTTATTTTGGGGGATTGTTGGCCAAACACCAGGAGAAAGAAACTCCCTTCTCTTTTTGAATAGTGTCATGGGATCTTTAACATCCATTTGAACAGACACAGACAGGTTTAACATCTCATCCGAAGAACGTCACCTCCAACAATGTAACACCACCCCAGCAATGCTTGGAGCATCAGATTAGACTATGTGAGTTCCAAGATCTAACTTGGGGCTTGAACCCACAACCTTCTACCTACTAGCCAACTCAGAGTGAGAGTGCAACCAACCAAGCCACTGACACACATAGCTAATATAGATAATAAATGCAAAATGTGATGCAAATAAATAGTAGCTTATGAAAGTGAATTCTGTAATAGTTCTGCTTGCACGTTCTCAGGACTATCCAAATGGATTAAGAACTTTCCCTTCCTGAAAATTTGCGGCAGCTAACTGTTCTAAAGTGTTCAAGATATAATTGTAATCCACCTTCAACAGGTAATTCGCCACTGTGTGTCCTGGATACATGTCTAAATGCAAGTAATAACTCTGAGCAAGGAGAGGACAAATTGTGATGATTGCAGAGCTGTGTTTCTTGGGAATTTCCAGTTTAGACCTGCTTTTGTTTTAAAATTGGCAGTTACATAATTAAATCCTGTGTTTATGCCCATATTAGGAAAAGCAATCCATCAATGTCACTTGTTTATTTTCTATATCAAATACACCAGGGTGATTGCTGCATATGATTTCAGATTCCATTGTGCTTTTGTTAGGCTGACTGATCAAATTGACACAATTGGTGCATCATTAGTAGGAATGGATTGCTGCTTAAATCTTCCAGCTGCAGCTTCCCTGATGCTGGTCCCCACGTATACTATCCCACTACTGGAATAAAAGCTTTGTAAAGCGAAGAACTGGTGTTGATATAAGAGTCTTTGCATTAGGACTGCAGTGCTTTCACATTGGGCTGTGCTTGTGATAAACGCAGGATGCAATAGCATTGATAGGTAACAGGTTTATACCCAGAGCCCTCCTGATGGCTAGTGGGTAGAAGCACTGCATGATGCAATCCTCAATTGCACAAGACAGGAAGACCTCAAGTCTGAACTCGAACCTGCATTCGATTCTCAGTTGGGCTTCAGTACAACAGGTAATTAGCTTCCCTGAATTAGTTTGCGTCTCTGGGATAAAGAGAAAAATATATCATTAGTTTCCACTCCTGATCTCTAGCCAGTTGCCTCCCAATGCAAAGTTTACACATATGAACATCTGGTAGAGATACGACTAGGCTCAGCTGTGGTACCATCCATCGCTGAATATTCTAATGACACTCGATGGGGTCTAATTCGTGCAGTTTGCTGATGCTGCGAGTGTTTTATTCAGCACTCCTTTTGGGATTTTCCATTATAAGTGTGAATCATACTGTCCACGTTAGAGTCAGCTGCCCAAGCTCCCACATGAAGAATAAAGTTCAGTTTAGGATTGCATCATGCAGTGCACACAACTTTCACAAAAAGAAAGTTACTGGTGCATCAAAATGTACTTGCTGCAGTGATCAGAAGAATCTTCTGATGTGTTTAGTGCCTGACTACTGAAGTGCATAGATATTTGTCCCACTTGAATGATGCATTTGGCACAATTGTTCTTGTGGAGCTGTGGGTGGCTCCAAATTGCCCTGTGAATCTTTTGATATCGAATGGACACTGTTTGAATGGTCCTGCATGCCTGCCATTGAATACAATAGTTCATTTAAATTCAAATTTTGCTTTGTCAGTCTATGAATAATTGACCTTTCCGGAATAGGATATTCAGCAGGGCCAACTTTTCTCAAACTGGAATGGTTAAAAAATAATTGAAAACAAATAACAGTAAGACAGGCTTGACACTAAAAATGATCCCAGATAATTAATAAATAGGAAAAAGAATTGGAAGTACAAACAGGAGGCTGTGGGTGAAGGGGTGACTGAGGGTACCTGCTTTGTAGTAGACAGCTGCAGCATAACTTAACTTTATCTTTTGATAAGGCAAACAAGTAATATATTCATAACATTTTCAGAAATTATTCTATAATCTCTCTTCAGTTGATTGAAATTGCTAATACATTGTAAAATTGGAAACTGGTATTTAAATATCAGTTTATACTGCATTATAATTTTAGTTTTTTAATATTAAAGGAAGTGTCTTATTATTTATGAATTTCCATCAATTCTTTTTTCTGGTCACCAGTTTTTCTTTATTCTCCAGGCTCTTAAAAACTTCTTAAACTTTTTCATTCTTCTGGGGCAGTAGGTGCTCATACCAGCAGAATGCTTCAGGTGCTGACTGGCTGACCTCCTGCATATTGTGTGCATGCTTGCGATATGTAAAACGTACCATTATTGTCGCTTCCTTCATGCTGCACCTGTACACTGTGCACAGAAAATACCGCTGGTCTCACTTTTGGAACTAAGTGATATGAATAGTCATCTGATGACCCCGGAAGGACTGACCAAGGGCCATTTTTTAACACTTCCATATAACACAGGATCTGAGTTTGCAGTCCAAACTACTAATGAAAATCTCACCTAAAGTTTATTTTAGTGCAGGAAGTGGCCGGCATGCATCAAACCATTTTACGGGTTAAACGCGGATCCATCCACATGTGCAATTCAACCTCGGGAACCTTGAATTGTTTCCCAGGAAGTAACGTTCTTTTCTTTGTCTTTTACAGTGATATTCAGCCAACTGGAGATACTGCGAGTAAAACCAGGCCAAGGGTTGCTTCCAAGTTTTCCAGACTGAGCAGGACTCACAACAGGGAGACACGGAATCCCGAGCCTCAGAGCGGCGACTTATGACCTGTGAACTGAAAGGGGATCCAACCTTTCTTCCCAGCCGCTTTTTCATATATCAATCTAACTTGTTGTTAGCTGAGATAAATCAAGGAAGATGGAGCAGCGGTAATATATCATGGGATATGACCTGGAGGGCTGTGCCTGTGTGTCTTACATGATATCGGTGATTTGAAATGAATTATCACTTTGAGGAATCATGCTAAAAACTAGGAGTCCCTATAACTAGCAAGATTTACAGTTTGTTCACTACATTACACACTTTAAAGTTTGTTAGATGTTACCTGACCTGCTGAGTGTTCCCAGCTTTTTTGTTTCAGATTTTCAGCATCTACAGTATTTTGCATTTTGTTTAAAGTTTGTTTATTGCTTTTTGCCACAAATTCCTAAAGCCTTTTTCTCACTCATCGGAATCATGTTACCAGTTTTGCAGTATTTCCTTTTTGAGCATTATCAAGATTTACTCTTAGCTACAATTAATATGGTGAATGGGGAAGAAAGAGGTTTCCTATACAGAGAAGGAAAAATCATTGAACACCTGCAGGCTAGTTCACACCATTCAACACAAGAGACTTGTTAAGCAACCATTAAACAAAAGGAACTGCTGATAAAATATGACTGCATGATACTATAATTAGAAAACAGAAATAGCTGCTCCTAGTTCTCTTGAAAAATAGTAAAATAGCCCCCTTTAAAATAGTACATAGGCCCCACTGGTATGAGTTGCATGTGACCTTTACACTGAGATGCCAAGCAGCCAACGATTACTTGCATTAGTGAATGAGTTACAGCTGCAAATCTGTGAAAGTATGACGTATGCACCTGAGCATAAGGAATATATTAATACTTGTCAATATAATGGCATCTAAGATATTTAGGAAGACGATTAAGTACTTTCCATATTCAGATCTAATATTTGCTTACTTATTATGGAAGGTTTCAGGTGTCAGCTTGGCTTAGCTGGTAGCGTTCTTGCCTCAGAAGGTTGTGGGTTCAATTCCCACGTCAAGTCTAAACTCAAGGTCTAGGCTGGCACTCCCAAGTGCAGTGCTGGGAATATGCTGCATTCTCTGAGGTTCCGTTCATCGGATGAGTCATTAAATCAAGGTCCCATCCATCTATTCGGGTGGATGTTAAAGAGCCCATGGCACTACTCAGAAAGAAGGGTGTGGGTGTCCTGGCCAACAAATCCCTGAATCAAATTAGTCATTTACTTTTTGGCCTTTTGTGAAACATTGCTGTGCACAAATTTACTTCAAAAATACGCAATCACCACACTACAGAAAATCCTGTAAAATGCTTGGAGATGTTTCGACAACATGCTAAGGTGCTATATCAAATGCAAGGATTATTATTATTAAGGAATAAAATCCATTTTCTGCAATCAGCCTATAAAATAAAATCGACTCGTATCGTTGAAATTGAAAATGTAATCGCATTAATGACTGTTTTGCCTGAAGTACTGATAGAAAAATAATTGAATGTCATTGGTTGAGTCTGATAATGATATCAAACTGTGAGATCCACGCTCCTTGTATCATTTACAGTTTTATATTCTTGATTCTGGATTCTTGTAAATTAAAGTATATAACGTTTTTAATAACCACCTCTTGATAAAAAAATGCTGGACCATGAAGAAATTTAATCATAACTATGAATGTAAACATTTGAACAAACCCAATATTCCTTGATTATGGTGATAGTTTGAAAGCCTTTTGGGGATATTTCAAACACTGAAATGCATGAAATGAAAATTGAAAAGATGCTTCTCTTAAATTCACTCATGAGATGTTACACAAAATTTTCCTTAAGACAAATTTCTATCAATAGAAACCAAGGTATAATTCATCCCCATTGACATAACTGCAGAATAACTAACAGTACGGACTTGCATTGGAGCGTAATGAGGCTCTTGCTCCCTTTCTTTCCCTGTCTCTCTCTCCCAAATTCCTTTAAACCACCTCACTTCCTGGTGCATCAACTCTCCTTCCATTGGGGACGAAGCTTTGTGCTGTATCAATCTCACTGCTTACATTCTTATCTTATCTGTGCACTGCCATCCCGAAATCACTCCACCAAGTTGATGAGTGTTCTGCCTATCCTCTATTCTCTTCACTAAAATTGGACCATTTCTATTGAACTCCAATTGAAACACTCACCGCACATTTAAGTTTAAAAAAAAATACCAAACACAATGAGAGAAAATTGGGAGTGAGCCCGTACACTGGAACTAATCTTTTATTGATTAATTGCGTAGAAAGAATCTTAGCCATCGAGTAAACTGTACATGAAGCAAAAGGAAAGTGGTATTAAGCAGAGTGGTATTAGCTCCTCACCCCCCTCACGATTGACAGGTCTTGAATTTTAATTTGTATCCAATTCTGATCCGACAATGATTTAAAAATGCGTGGATGAAAGTATTAAATTATAACAGTTTCTGACGTGGTCAATCATAAGGTTAGTGAACACTTTATACAGTGCATTTTTGAAACGTATTTTAGTTAATGAGCAATACACTTGGTTCCGGCATTTCAGGGATTAAATTGTAGCAATGTGTTGAAAGCAACTTTACATTTATCCTCCAAGCTGTTGCACCTTGGGGGAAAAATCCCCAAAAGAAACATAAGAATAAATGTTGACATACATCTTAACTTATGCCTACTGCAAGCTCAGCTTTTTGTTGTATATTTAGTACTTCACAACTTCATAAAATGATTTTGTGTAAGTTGGCACAAAATTGCTTAATGTTCACAGAAGCAGTTTTTTTTTTGCCATTTTTGAATGAAACACTGTTAACATACTTCAGCTTCTCGTGAAACATCTCGTTTGCTTTTAGTGGCGTTTTTGTGTAAACTGGGACAAACCAATACAATCTGGTGCACAATCAGATCAGCATTGGACACAGATCACTGCCTGGAAAGGAAACGTTCAAAACAAGAATTTAAAACGCTTTAGTTTGCCTTTGCAATGCTATAGGCTATTCAAAGCTCTGAGTGTGGAATTCAGAAATGATGAGTGAATGTTCCTGAGTAAGGTGTGGGCTATTTTTATTCAGTGTTGAGTATCGTGATGGTTTCATCTTTGAAAATCAATGATATTAAATTGTTCACACAGAGCATTCCTTCAGTTATTCTTGTGATATATCAATAAGCAGACAACATTAACTACAAAATACAAAAAAGATGACAAAGTTAACTGTTTCTTTTGTTTAATCCAGAGCATAAATTGCGCAAGTATGTTACACTTGTGGCCACGGTGTGTGCTGTGTCTACAATGAAATTGTTAAGAGAATTTTAAATTGTATTAAATGTTTTATTGTAATATTCTTCTTAAACTGTACATTTAATGTGGCTATTTGTAAATGAAGAGACCTAACAGTACACAGCCCAGAGATGGACTTCAACGGAGCTAAAGTATTGCTACTATTCAGTGCAAAGCACCAGATGTGCCATTACTTTGGTCACAGTCCCATTTTGAGTCATTTAGAAGAATTGTTGATATTTAACCAGAAGTTTATCATTTGCTCTCTGCTTCCTATTGATAACGATATTTACAGTTACAGTGGATTTTTAGGCTTTTTTTTAAAAAAAGAGATGACACAAGGATTTGTTTTTGTCAGCCGAACCCCACCATCGCCAAACCAAGCTGAGATTTCCATGCATCCCACTTACACACGGCAATTCCAGAGAGATCCAGAGTTTTTGTATATTTAAAACATGAATATCGCAAAGTTTTGCATCTGATTGCTCAAGCTGATCACTTTACATTCGAGAAACTAATCGTGTCTTGTTCATTTGGGAATGGAGTCATGTTCATCTTCACAAATAAGCGCTACCTTTTGGGTTAATATGCGGTTTTATATCATCTCCTATTTGGTGCCTGCAATTTACATGTAAAAATGATTGATTTACACCACAGCAGGAAATTTAACTGCCACAGTCTAATGTTAAAAATACCATTGTTATTATTCTGTCATTTATGAGCACAATTTTAAGAATGTAATTTTGTTTGGAAGAATTAAATTCATTGAAGGTAAAAGGTGTAAACTTATCTGACTATGCAAGAAAACAAAATTGAAACAAACCTCGAGGAATATGTTTAATTTTCTCCTAAGTGCTCAGATATTCATTGGGGGATAGTTTTGAAGTGTGGAACATTTAATTAGTTTAAAAACTAATGTGTAGTGTTATCTAAGCCTGCATTTAATTTGTAATGCCAGTGAAGAGGCTGAGTATTTATTGCCAAAGGTCAGTGCCTTATAATTGAAATCTATGTTAGTGTTTTTCCTTAACCTTTAATAAGCTTATAGAAAAGTATTTGCACTGAAATATGAAGCTTTCTGCAGCAATCCAGATTATTTTCTGTCATTTTATGCCACATTTCACACTCAAATAAGCCTCTTAAATCATTTAAATATGAATTTGATCAGAATTTCCCCCATTTATCTTTAATGCTGTGTTAAAGACAGTGTTCAATTAATTCATTTGGCATTTTAATACTAATGAAAAAATATAATGCTGCAACTATTAATATGTTCTGAAGACATAAGTAGTAAATAAGCACACTATTGTGCAGGTGCCATGTGAAGATTTTCTCTCCATGTTGCATATCAAGCATAACGCTTTGAGAAGAAACTTAATTTCATTACTAAATAGAAAAGATACGTAAAAATGTTTGTCAAGGATAGATCATTGCATCTTTCAAGAGCTACACCCATTTCATGCTTTTACCTTGCCTTATAAGTGGTAAAATAATCAAAGGTGCTAGAATTTAAAAATACGAGATAGGAGAGACTTTCCAATGTGGTTCCTTATATATTTGACACCCTGTAAATAGGAGCAAAATTACTTTTATATAAGATATTGAGAAAAGGTGACATCAAATCATCCATTCATACAAATGATTGTAAATGAGTATAAATGTCTTTAAATTGGAGAAGTTTAACTGTGCTTCCCAGATATCAGGACTCCCATGTTTAATGGGATTGCAATTTGCAACGGAACTGGAGTTTGGGGGCTTATGGACTGAACCTTTTCTTTATAATAAAAAAGGAAACAACATATCTAAAGATTTTGAGTTAATAATTCACAGATAAGTACAGTCACTTCATGAAAGAGTAATATCTTGCTTTATTTATATTTTCATGCATAGTATAGTCAGTATGCATTTATCATTCCTAATCAGATGATATGTATTCTACAAAACCTGTTTACTAACCAAGCTTGCATAGTGAAACATTACCTTCTTTTCCTTTAAAACGAGAAAGAAAGAAAGCTTCAGTTTCTATTTTGGACCAAATTAATTTAAACTTGATTGAGCTGATCACACAGTATGAGCACATATTCTACCTTTAAATTTGGGGACCAAGGTTACAAACTGAGAACTCGATTTGCACAATTTAATGCAAGTGAAAATATTGGACACATTGGGCTTGCATATGCTTCACTTCAATAAAAAGTACCTTCCATTGGAGTTATTTAGTTATCTTCAAGCAATCATCACGTGTATTTTCAGGAAATTCATGTGACAATTTAAACAGATTAAATCCCCTCAATTTGATTAGTGTCTTTAACATTGTTTTCTTTCTAATCTTCATTCCTGTGATAATATATTTATTTTGCAGTATTATATTTGTTAGATTGATATGCACTGTGGCTGTGCAATAATATTGTAAACAAATTATCCGGGTATTAGGAAATCATCTTTCATTTGATCGAATGCAAGTAAACTATTTTCATTTGAAGTTTCAATTTGTGTTATTTACTTTGGTTCAGTGTCATTTGTATTTATGCTCCGTATTTTCTCCTCCCGATTCCTTTTAAAGAGTTGGGCCTTGTGAGAGATTTGGGGGGAAATGGTTAAGGCTCTCTCTCACAAGCCACTCGCCGCTGACAAAATATTTTAAGGGATTGTGTTGCATTCCCATGCATTATCTTGGTAATGTAATGCATTGCATAAGGCAGCATCATTTAAGGTGTCATATGCTAGTCACAATTCCATTAATGGTCTGCAGATCAACACATCAAAATGCCCTGGGACTGTTACTGTCGGGAATCTGTGAAGTAGCAATGCAAGACATGATGTGTTGCATTGAAGCACTTTTGGATGCGTGCTGGTAAAGGCTGCTCACACTGTGCCCACATCTGCCTGTGGTTTCAGTGTCTTGCAATCTGCAGCTGAGTGTGCTTTGAGTTGTGCTTCTACTGCGGTGCTTTGTGAATTGAACAAACCATTAAGTAGAACTCTGAGCTATAGACTGCAAAACAGGGAGATTCTGTTTATTAGCAGGTCAAGTGCCAAAATAAAGTACATACCTTTTCTTATTGAACATTTGACTGCGCATAGTTTAAAATTGCCAGGAACCTGGAAATCTTTAATACTGTTCATGAAAAGGAGGATTTTATTTTAATGCCTCCGTTGAATTAAAGCAAAGCCTAAAGAATGAATGGTCTCCATGGAAGTCATCTTTCAACCAAACATTTTGCTGATATTAACTTATTTTGTCTTAAATACAGGCTCCAAGATGAAGGCAGGTGTAATCTGTACTTAAACATTTACCGATTTGAAACATTAGGGACCATATTTCATGGCATTACAGAATTTTAAAAATATCTATTTCTTCTATTTTTCTAATTTATTTGGAACTTTCATATCCCTTTGATGTTTTTTCCTTCCAACACCAGCATCAATCTGGAAAGTGGGAGAAACTTACTTTTTAAAAGCATATTTTAATGCCAGACTGGTTTACCAGCTAATGGAAAGGTAAATAGTCTTAGGTGTGACACCATCAGTCATGAAAATTATTACCTGTAAAAGAGAAAGTAGGACCCAGGAATACGAAGAATGGTGCTCTATCATCAAAGGCGTAATGGAATTGTTGGTCCGTTGTTACCAAGATAATGAGTGCAGCAATTGGATATGTAATTTTTCAGCTCACATATTAACTTACTTGCAACATTTAATGACTCTATGAGTCCCATTGCTTACCTCACTAAAGATTCATGTGGAAACTGGTGCAGCTGTAACTTTGCTCCAGTAGAAAATTCATTTAGAGAATATCCTGCGGCAACCAGGTTATTTAAAGCTGTCTGTAAACTTGTTTGTTTGTGATTTAAAGTCACAAACGACATTCTCTCTATCTGTGACCGGGGCTCCCTCTGCCTCCTCATCCTCTTGGATCTCTCTGCCGCATTCGACACAGTTGATACGCCATTCTCCTCCACCGCCTCCTCTCTCATCCTCACCGTAGTGGGACCGCACTCGCAAGGTTCGAATCCTACTTAACCAACTGCCTCCATTTCATCTCAGCAAATGGTTTCTCCTCCCGCTCCCGCCTGGTTACCTGCGGGGTACCCCAGGGCTCCATCCTTGGTCCTCTTCATTTCCTTGTCTTATATGCTCCCTCTGGGCAATGTCATCCACGGGGTAAACTTCCACATGTATGCAGATGACACATAAGTCTATTTTGCCTCCTCCAGTACCAACTCCAGGTCCGCCGATGTTCTATCAGCTTGTCTGGCAGACATTAGGGTCTGGATGTGTGCAAACTTCCTGCAGCTGAATGTGGACAAGACGGAAGCCATACCCCTCGGCTCCCGTCAACATCTTCATTCCTGCAGATCTTAACTGCTCAACCTCCCTGGGCTCTCCCTCAGACTCACTGAACCAGAACACAATCCAGGCGTCCGGATCGACCCCCAGCTGTCCTTCCTCCCCCACATCCGGTTCCGGACTAGGACCGCCTTCTTCCATCTCCGCCACATTGCCCGCCTCTGACCGTACCTTACCACAAATGCAGCCGAAACCCTCGTACATGCGCTTGTCACCTCCCCCTTGGGTTACTCCAACTCACTCCTCGCCAGTCTCCGCAGCTCCACCGTTCAAAAGATTCCCTCCCTACCTCTCCGACCTCCTCACTCCCCAATCCACCACCTGGCGCCTCTGCTCGACTGCCACCGACCTCTGCTCGTCCCTCGCACCCTCCGCCCCACCATTGGAGGTTGCGTTTTCAGCCACTACGTCCCGAAACTCTGGAACACTCTCCCCCAATCCCTCGCCTTGCTCCTCCACCCCCCTCTCCCCTTTTTCAAGTCCAGCCTGAAAACCTTCCTCTGTGTCCGTGCTTACGGCCACCCCCTCCCCCGGTTAGGGGTCAGGCTCCGCCACTGTTAAGCGCTCTGAGACGTTACCCTGCGTGAGGGCACTATATAAGTGCAAGATGTTGTCTAGAAATGATCGTCTGGGATTTAAATATTCTGCACAAACGTATTTTAAGATGCTCATTTTCCTGCTTGTAACTTACCCGTCTACCTCTTTTGGGGACGTCCTCCTGACATGAAAGGACCTAATACATATGTAATTTGTTGTTGTCTCTGAAGAGTCAGGGGCATCTTGCTGCAGCGGTTAGGCCCACCTTATGCGGAACTGGAATTTAGTTCTGTCAAAATCACCATACCCTTTTTCCTTAGAAAGGAAGTATGTTGTTGATGTTTGTATGCCGTGTATGTACAGCTAAACAGGTAACTTGTTTTATGCTTTTTAAGAAACTAAATCTATGTAAGCTATTTGCTCTTGCACAAAAAAAGTAGGTCAATGTTCTGTGGTGAAATGTCAGAAGTGATGAGTTGCATCTTCGTGATGAGGGAGAACTTATGCCGCTCAACCTTTAAACTGTTACACAAAATGTTATCAAGATGCAGTATATTGGGGCCTTTAGAGATTGGAGGCTGGTTCACTGGAAGGTCCCTCCCTTTACTCATTCATATTTAAATAGATTGAGATAGCGGAGAACTGGGAGAAGCCGCTCAATCATTTAATTTAAAACATAATGAGGTGAAGAACCTGATCAACGCACAGAAACATAAATACATTTAATACATCTTAATGTGTTTTCCAATGAACAGATGCTCCAAGTTTCGTATACAATTTGCACATTTTGCATTTGTTTTGTTCGGACCTCAAACCTTTTGGAATCGACATAGATCAGGCAACCAGGACCTCTCTCTGTTGCTTGTAAATGTGTGGCCTGAAAGGAGATTGGGCAGACTCCACCCTGAGCAGACCTACAGCGCTAAACTGCTCTGAATTTGCCCCAAATGAATTCAGAAATGCCACAGGTTTAACTGCTGTGGGAAATTGAAATATTTTCACTGACCCTTTTGGGTACAGCGGAAAAGAAGCCTTCCATCCATTACACCATTGCATTGGGTTAAGGAGTGCTTGAAGCTTTTACCTGGATTTCAAAAGTGACTCTTCCCCAGCATTTCTGATAACCACACAAAAAAATCTAAAGAGTTTTAGGTGCAAAACTATTCTGCATAGAGCACCAGAGGTCACTTCTGTGTGTAGAACGCACAGGTGTTAGGATTCAACTAACAATCAGCTGGTTAAAACCATTAAATCTATATATATTTACTTATTATACATACTGTATACCTGCCAATTCTAGCCTTGGCAGAGTGGAAAAAAAGTGTTTGATGGATGTAAAAATAGAACGGGAGATAATAGCAGCCTCAGAGAAGTGAATGAGAGAAATTACAATTATGAGAGACTTGGCATTGACAGCTCATTACAGAAGTTTTCTTTCTTTCAGTATTAGGCAGCCATCTGTGTGCATCTCATTTTAGGTTTCCGAAATATTATTAATATCGTTGTGGATTGAAACAAAAGTATGGGACTTTGTGTTCTGTGTTATTTCCTACTCTTAATTTGTCCCGCTCCATTAGTGTTAGTTACTCATACCGGCTACAATTTACAGGACTGGACCCCAAATTATTCTCGATAATAATATAATAATCCTTGCATTTGATATAGCGCTTTTCATGTCTTCTCGACGTCTCAAAGTGCTTCACAGAATATACTGTAAAGTGAATTGACTGTACATTTGTGGGTGAAACGCGGCAGCCAATTGCGCACGGCAGCGTCCCACAAACAGTCGTGGATTGAAGTGACCAATTTATTATTATTAGTTTTCTTGAGGGATTATTATCAGACGTGTGGAGTAAGGAAACTTGCCAAGGTTTCGCCCCGCCGGGAATCGAACCCAGGTCTCTCGCTTGTGAGGTGAGTGCTTGTGAGCTACAGGACTCCATTGATGAATGAGGCTGAAGGGTGATGACTGGCACAATAGCATTTGAACTATAGTGGCCACGGTAGAAGAGCCAACATCCATATATTAGCAGAGTGATGGGATTGACAATTTCCTCCGCCTGTTGTTGAGGTCAGTCTTAATACCCCTGACTTTCGACACAGACCTTTCACAGAATGTACTGTATATTTTGTGGGCGAAAAATAGATCACTGCAACATTTTAAAATTAAAACTGGAAATTAAGCCATTGGACTTATTGATCCGTGTGTGAGACCTAACCCTGCATTTTCATGTTTTATATGGTTCATAGATTCAGTTTTATGATTCATAGATTCATTTTGACATCAACAGGGATGAAAGTTTCAACCATGTTATATTGCTAGTGAGTTATCACCTCATTTTTTTTTCATCTCCATTTATTCCTGTAGCGTATTGGATAAATACAATGCATTCCCACCAAAAAGCAACCAATCTTGATTCTCACTTTCAAAAAAGAACTAGTCCTGATTGGGAATGTTATTTATGTTTATGTAGAGAGCTTTACACTAACACTCAATAAGGACGCAATGAGTCTCGCGGTGCTGGAACCATACTGCCTGTGAAGGGTAGAACACTGGGGATGAATATTGAACATGTAGAGATGGATAAAAATTCTGGAGTTTCTGCTTGATTACCTTTGGGAATCAAGGATTCGTTATGCACAGTTTTCCCTTAGGAGACTTGAGCGAATGGACTGGAATCCTTGATTGAGTAGTCTGTGGGCTTGATGGCTGAATATATTTTCCTCACTCTATGCTTTCTCGTTTTCTTAATCATCACCAATGTTTTTCAAATAGTTTTCAAATGTGTCAGTCCAAATGGATTAATACGTATAATGGCTTGATTTACAGTTTTAATGTTAAAACATTGCAATGATCTATTTTTCACACACAAAATATACAGTATATTCTGTGAAAGACTTTGAGAGATCTCGAAGATGTGATGAGGCGCTATATCAATTGCAAGGATTATCATTATTATTTTCTCAGCTGAGTAACTCTAGAATTTTGTCAGAATAAATAATAACTCTGCTTCTTAGATCATATTTTGGGTGTTTAGATTACAAAGAGGATTGTAACATATCCAGGAAGGTACGTTTTCTTAGTTAATATGGTTGCTTCACATAACTAACGTGAAGGCCCATCTTAAATAAGAAAACATTAGTAGTCACAACATTGATATTTTGTAAGTATGTGCATATCTTTAGATATTAATTCAATTAAACTAGTCAAAGAGGCAATCTCCTTGACTAGTCTGAACTAATCGATCTCACATTATTCAAAAGAACTCGTGAATAATCTATCCAATGTACCTGAAACCACAAATTCTTTTTGTGATTTAAAACAAATTGTAGTTTAGCTGTTAAACTTTAGTTTTGTGTATCCATGGAATTTAAAAAGATTGAATGGTGAGTGCAGATTTTGAAAAGATTGATTATTTATTTCCATTTATATTAGTTGGACTTTCAGAGTTGCCTTACGATGAGAGTCACACGTAATTAACACCCCTGTCCGACACATCACAATGCCTGAGCTTTTGCCCATCAGCTCACTTTTAAAGTGATAATTAAAATTCACCATAGGTGGAATCCTGCAAACTGTGACTCATGCAAAAAAAAGAAGTGTTTGTTGCTGTAATTTTTAATTAGCTTAGCAATGAACACTTTACAGACAACATTTTTGTAACTGGAGTTGCTAATGAAAAAAAAAGTTTTTTTCTTAAAACATTCACTTTATATTTTTACTTCTTCCTTCAAAGTATGTGGATTGAGTGGTTCCTGGATTAAGCTGATGACAGCTGGTGGAATTGTGGTACAGATGGTTGCGAAAACAGTGCCATAAATGCCTCAAAATAATGTGTGCGATTGCATAGAATAACACCCATCTACCTAAAATATGGTGAAAACAATTAATTTTGTAAAGTACATTTATTAGAGCTCCCACATAGCATCTCAGTGATGATTCTCGGCCGACTTGTGGAATTGTATAATGGACTACCTCAAATATCTTTAATCATTACAAATGCAGTGTGCCTTGATAAGACCAGCCTCTTCTCTGCAGCATCATTTAGTTAAATCTTTCAGATCAGCTACTTTGAAAAGGTTGGAAATGGTTTGATTGATGCTCAGCTCACTTAGCTCATCCAGGCTGACGTACTTGTGGACAATCTTGTCCTCGGTAATCGCCACAACACGCACGCCGTGTTTGTCTTTCCCCAACTGGCAGCCAATTGCAGAGGTCACCACCATCTCCAGATCCTTGTACACACCTCCGGCGTTCCTATGGTAGTGTCCAGAGAAGACAGCTTTCACACCTGCCGAAAACACAGAACGTGGTACAGTTTACTTCAGTTTCCTTGTCATTGGTATTCGGGCTGCAATTCCTCAGAAGCTTCATTCAGTTGAGAATCACCCCCATCAGTCATTTTACTCCTGGAATTGGCGTATAATCTACTAAATGCACACATTGTTCCCCATGGAATGAAAGCATAATATTGTGCAGTCTGGGGGAATGGTTACTTGAGAATTATGTTCTAAATGGGTATTACTCTCCAGCTGTTATAAAAGGTCCCAAATATTTGTTTTATATTTACTTTCTCTATTCTTTCACACTCCCCCGTGCCATCCATCAGTGCCCAGTGATGAGGGCACGCTAAAGCTTATTTCAGATCTCATCCAGTGCCACGCTATATCAAAGTACAGAGAAGTGCGTGGTGCACCACACTGGACTGGGATTATTCTCTTTGGTTTTCTTTCTGTGCCCCTTCACAGTCTCCGGCAGTTTCATTAAAAACACTCTTGGCATTAATTGAATCTGAACGGTCTTTAAACACTGAAAGTTATTAACTTGCACAAAGTTTTGTAAGTATTGGTGCTTTTGGGACTCATTCCACAACAGCAGATCTCGTGAAGAAACTGGATTCACTATAAACCTGAGTTAAGGACGAGTGTATTACTGCAGGATTGCCCAATATGTTAGCCACGAGCCATTTGTGGCTAATTGGGAATCCAGATATGGCTGAATTGCATTTTTGATTAGGAAATACATTTTGGTAAATTAGTAAGTCAGTAAGAAATGCGATCTCAATACAATACAGTACTCACATTCACATGGCATATATATGTTTACTTTGACCTTTTTGTCTGTTTGTTGGTAAAATGGTAAGATGAAAAGCAGCATGTGTGAGTGTTTTTTGATCGTTGTGTGTGGCTTCACCTCCTCTGTTATTATTTTGTTGGTTATCTGCTAAAATGGTGTTTAACAAAGGTGAAGTACATTTACATGCAAGGATTACTATTATTTGATATAGCGCTTTTCACGTCTTCTAGACATTTCAAAGCGCTTCACAGAATATACTGTAAAGTGAATTGACTGTATATTTGTGGGCGAAGTCCGGCAGCCAATTGCGCACAGCAATGTCCCACAAACAGTCGTGGATTGAAAATGAACAAATTATTATTGTTCTTTTTTTTGGAGGGATTATTATTGAATTGTCACTCAAAACAAAAACACTGGTGTGGTCTTTGGATCACCAAGTCATGTAAGTCATATTTTACACAACAGTGTTTGACAGGTATCCGCTTCCAATAACTGCACCTTATTCCCCTAATGAGCAAGAAGACAAGAAAACATGATGAAAGCTATCAAAATTCCTTCCACCAGTGTTTGATTGTAACATGCTTTGACGAATGGAGAAGCATTGCTTTTGAAGTACTCGTGAAAATTCATTCATTCCTAAAGCTTTACCAGGAACAATGTTTTCAATCCTGTGATGCACCTAATCCTGTCTGGTAAATGACTATCGGAATCCAGTCTTTCTTGTACCTGGGAGACTTCGTCCATTGAGTGGAATAGCTTTGAATAAAAACAATCTCAATTCCTCTTGGTAGCTGCAGAGATCTAGTTTATCCATTAGACTTGTTGAACAGCAATGAAGAAGCGATTTTGCCATTTTCTGTTCACATCAAGGATTTAACCTGCCTTCATACCCCTAGAGTACGTCTGACTTAAGAAACAGAAAATTCCTTTACAGTGAATATATAATTTAGATGCATCTTAATGATCAAACCAATGACGGGCTTGACCATAACTGGTTTATTTTCTGCAGGATGCTTAAATATCCCTTAATCCTTTCATTAATTTGAATTCCTCCATTACCATTTTAGGATAACAATTTACTCAAAATATTATGTTTTTATTGAGGTCCCAGTGGGAATAATCTGTATAAATATTCATGGTAAATTCAATCTTTAAAAAAAAATCTATATTGTGAATGTAATCTCCTGTGGTAATGCCACTTGACATTTCAATTTATTCAGGATGATAATGCTCTATGGTGTTTTATTGGCTTATTCAACCGTTTAATACTCCCAAGTAACCACATTCACTGTTGACCTAAGCAACTTGGACATATTGGCATCCACAGGGAGGATGGTGAACAAATGTAGAAACCATATGCCACTGAATACAGATGGAGAGAGAAAGCAGCCCCAACTAGTAGAGGATTTAATATCCTGTGGAAGGGAAATGACGAGCATTAGGAGCAAGAAGCTCCATTTATATACTGACTGGAGGTTGAGGGGAGTTCTGGTAATGGATTCTAATGTTTTAATGTTATCAAAGAGTTGAGAATTTGCCATTATTTAACTTCTTTACTCAATTTACTTTTATTGCATAGGATAAATATCAAGACTCACAGACACAATTTTATTGTTTCTGCACACCTGTGGGATATTAATCGTGATCCCAAAGTGCTTCACAAATCATAATGGATTCTGTATTGTATATATGCAAAATAATGTACATCAATTGTTTTGTGCTTGCCGCTTCCACTTAAACTACTTAAGCGGCATTTTGTCCAAGCTGTTCATGAAATTTCCAATTTCCTTCGTTCCAATCTGGAGTAACTCCAAGTGGCCTCTAGACTTAATCTGCTTCATTCCTTGAAGTGTTGTTTTCCTGGGTTAACACGGACACATTTAACGTAACATAGACTTATGAGGTTACAGTGCAATTTTTCTCACTCACTCAGCAAACTGCCTTGAATGAACATCATTCTAGTTTTAGTATTCCTAGTGGTGCTTTACATCAATAAATGAATGTAGAATTTGAAAAATATGAATTTTACTTGGGACACTGAAGAGGCATAATAATAATCCTGGTATTTGATGTAGCGCCTTATCACATCATTGAGACGTCTCATAGCGCTTCACAGAATATACTGTAAAGTGAATTGATTGTACATTTTGTGGGCAAAACATAATTATAGCACTTTCACTATTAATTTTTAAAACTGAGAACGCATTAAAAAGTTCGTCGGGTCTTTGTATTCCTATAGGTGCCAAAAATAATTAGTCAAGCAATAATTGCTCCTTTTTGTTTTCATCTGCAACTGCTGGCATCTCAACACCTTAATTATAATAAATTGCCATTCAGCAATAGACCTGTGACAGAAGCAGCCTCACTGGAGGAAAGAACGAATGATGTGCTGTTTTAGTGCCTGTATTTGTTTGTTCAAATCAGCATGTGTAATCCTGAGAATTTATAAGAAACGCAAGAATTAAGAATTGACACATCTCACTTGTATCTCAAAGATAATTTAGAGTATTCATTTATTTTTCTAATTTTTCTCCCCATTGGCATATGTCTCTCTTGCCTCTTCTTGTTGATCATGTGCAATGATGCTATATAAATGCAAGTTGTTGTTGTTATGTGTGAGCCTCAGTGATGAATGTCAACAGGTCACTTCATTGTCAATATACAAATCTTCCGTCTTATTTTTCAGTGCAGTATTTTCTGGATGCGATAATACAAACATGAGCACAGTATGATACTGAGTAGTAACCAAGTTCCGGGGGTTTTTAGTTTTTTGTGAGACTGTATTTGCCAGTATGGATGGCACTTGCATTGAAGTTATTCTGTTAAAGGAGCAGTGTCACCATGTCATTGTGAAATGCAGTTGTCAAAGCTTTTCTTGAAAGGGGAGATAAAGATCAATGACACTAATCAAAAAGAGGAGGGAGTTTCTCCTGGCCAACAATCCCCCAGATAAAATTAGTCACTCATTTGATGGCTATTTAAGGAAAATTACTGTGTGCAAATTGGCTGCTGCATTTACCCACATTTGAGGCTCTTTAGCGTTATAGGTGCTATATAAATGCAAGGATTAAAAGAGCCACGAATGATTCTTAGGAAATTAATACCAACTGCAAATGAGAAGATCATATTTTTCAATTTGATTTACATTATGCAGGAAGGTGTCCCAAGAAGTGACTTTCACTGGAAGCAGCTGTGCTCTTACATTACATGATGAGGCGCTTATCAAATGCAAATTATTAAGTAAGTATTGCTATTCAACATGGACTGTGATTGGAGAATTTAAGGCCATGACGAGAGCTTCTAATGAGATCAGAAGAAGTATTATATGGGGAACAAATTGTCAGCACCAGAAGTCCATGTTATGTTGGGTAAACCATTATATATATATATATTGATTGATTGATTATCAATCAATCAATCAATCAATCAATCAATCATCCGTGGAATACAACCAGATGGAGTACAACAGTATGTTATAACAACAGATTCATATCCTAAAGTTTTACTTTTGAGGTTGTAGAAAAACATTTGCCCTAAATAATAAAAAAAGGTAACTGCAGAACATGAGTACTGAATCTGTGCAGAGAAAACTTGATGCTTTGAATACTTTCTTATTTGATATATTATTATGTTTCTGTTTAATAATTTGAAAATTTAAGCTTCTCTCACTACTGTAAGACGTCATGCCAACCTGAGTACTTTTTAGTGGTGAGGTAGCTTTACCACATACAATTTTACTCTAGGAACACCTTGACTATTTCTCATATCTGGCAGCTTGACAAATTGACTGCTTTGAAAAGAAATTTGTGTAGACAAGGCTTAGTATTTGTCGTGCCGATGACTAATCTTTTATCACAGAAGTCTGTTTACGTGTTTGCTCAGCTCTGCATTATTTCTCAATAAAACTGCAGCTTTTTTAAATCCTTCCATGCTACTCTGTTACCTCAATAAATCAAGTAGCGTTGTCGATAAATTAACAGGAGCCTTAGGGCTCAAAGCTTCAAGATCAAACTAATCAGCCTCAACAGTTATCCTCCCGGCAGTTAAATCTGACTATTTTTCACTACATACAAGAACTGTACCTTACTTGTTTATTCCCCCTCAATTACTGAACCTAAAATCTGAAGAGTCTCCCTCTGCAATGTATTTTGTGTGTAATCTTCCTCTGAAACAATCCGGTTAGAAAAAATAGTTACATCATTGTTATTGTGTGTT